GTCTTAACACTTTAAATGCTAGGACCTTTTATGAAATTGTTCAAATATCCTTAATGAATCTTTTTTATATATTGATTCATTAAGAGTATTTTAGTCTTTTCATTATTATTTTTAGCATTTTAAATAATAGAATGTCATGATTTTTCTCAATCCCTATATATATAAGAAAAATTGTTGTGTAGTTTGAATTATACTAAACTACACAACACTAACTATTAGATGAGGGTTGGGCCTCTTATATTGAGAGCCATTTCCCATCCAATAGTCCCTATTTTATAGACTAATATAGTCCAGACTATAAAACGAAATTAACTTGTGTGTAAGTGGATCCTTCTCTCTCTCTCTCTCTCTATATATATATATATATAAAATCTTGGATCGCACAATAAAAGACAATCCTTTTTCATACCATATGATTTAAATTTAGAACATTTTTACTTCCACAGAAAGAGATCACCACATTGAATTGCTTAAATCATTAATTATACATATTTAGTAAATGTGAAACAAAACTAGTATAACTAGATGCATTATAAGTATCAAACCAGTAACAAAACCATTTCTCATTCATGCCTGTAATAAGATGTCAACAACATAGTGTCAAAACTCAATGTTGCATCAGTCTATAGATAGTACAGTTACTCATTGTGATACCACATGGACTTTTCTTAAACAAGAAACATAATTATTTTATTGATATTCAAGAGAGAGAGAGAGAAGAAGAAGAAGAAGAAGAAGAAGCATAATTTGTTTTCCATTTAATTTCAAGACACTCGATGTCCATGCATGCTTGTTAGTTCCCTACCAAAACGAGAAATGGTAAAAAGGAGAAAGAGAATTTCATTGCATGCATGCCACGATGTTATGATGAGGCTTTTTCATGATCCATATGGCAGTAGGCAGATGAATGGGGAATGCCTTAGAAAAGAAAAATGATCTATACACATTTGGTTAAATAATTTTTTGACATATTTTTAATTCAACTATTAAAAATATAATATAAAATACAATTGATTTAGTTAGTTTTTGTATTTTGTGTTTATGATTGTATCTTTAAATTTATTTATTTTTAATTTTATATCAAATAATAATAATTTTTTAATGAATGTATTATGCAATGTATTAAACTAAAATATATACTAATAATTGTCCTTTAAAAGAGCTTCCATCTTTTTTTTTCAAAATTTGATTTTAAGTATTAATGTGAATTTTGGGTGATCGCAAAGGCAATAAAAATGATATTGTGACAATCTAACACGTTGGCTCACATGGCATGTTGCATGGTAGGGTGTATCTTTTGACTAGAGATATGGCCTTTTAACTCTTGAGCCTCCTTTTTACACCACATATAACTGTCCAATTAAAAGGTATCATGTGTCTGCTGAAAATAATGGATGGACATGATTTAGTCAGCTCTCGCACAATCTGGCGCAGTAGTGTGCACAAAGTTTGCATGGACTTCGAAGTTTCTTGCCCAACAAATCATTCACATCCATTGCCTACTTTCCAAAAAAAAAAAAAAAAAAAAAAAAATCATTCACACGGTAGACGAGCTGTGCTTAGAATTTGAATTTGAAGAAAGCAAGGAGTCTAAGAATTAACTCCCTGCATTTAAGTGGTGTTTGTTTTATTGATTTAAAAACACCTATCAATTGTTAGTTTTAATAAAAAATATTATATACTTTATATTATAAATACAATGATTATTATTCATTTATTATCAGTATCAATTATCAACTATCAATTCTATCTAAACAACTTATTTAAACACCTTCTCATATTTCTCAATTGGGAAAGCAAACGATTAATAGATTAAGTTAAGAAAATTTACACGAAGGGAATTTTATATGTTGGGTAAAGGCCATTGTACTAATTGTAAGGGGAGCTCGTGGGCCCCCCCATGTGGGGCGCATTTGTTTTTGTTTGGCCTCAGTGGTACGGGACCGACCTGAGGTAGCCTCTCCAGGGATCGAACCCGAGGTCCCGTAAGACTCAGCTCAAGTGGTACCAGGGTCACCCGTGAAATCCTCTTAAGGAAGGAGTCCTACGGGACCTCGGGTTCGATCCCTGGGGAGGCTACCTCAGGTCGGTCCCGTACCACTGAGGCCAAACAAAAACAAATGCGCCCCACATGGGGGGGGCCCACGAGCTCCCCTTACACTAATTGATTAGAGTATGGGGACCAGGAGTCTTTAGACAATTTAGATTATGTTAAGAAAAGTTACATAAAAGGCATTTTTATCTGTTTGAAGAATTACCACTAGAAGTAATGGTCAATGTAGCTAGTCCATTGGGAGTATGTAGGCCAAGAGCCTCTAGACGATTCAGTGCTTAATTAAGCTAATTCGCCATAAATACCAAAAAAATTAAACTTAGAAGATTTAGTAAAGATTTGTGGTTTGCTTGACCATAATTCTTACTGTCATTTTTCCAACAACACTTTATCTAAAAAAAATATAATTTTATTATTATTAATTAATTTTAATTAATAATATATTTTTATTAATTTTAATTAATATTTTATATATATTTAAAATAGTTAAAGACAAAAAAACTATAACTACAACGAAAAATATAGCACTGCATTGACGAACAGAACCTTGATCTAAACACTAGGTAGAACCCTAACCAATAGAGGTAAGTTTGGACAAACTCAATAAAGTACTAGGAATATGTAAGATGCTATCAACCTTGAGGTTTTGGGTTCTACTTTGATTTATATTCTACATAAAAAAAAAAAAAAAAATTGCATACTAGTGAAAAATTTAGAGACTGAATTCAGATTTTTCCCTCAATTATTTAGGATAAAAAGTATACTACTTGGAACAAAAGAAGACATAGGTCTGATTTGTTAACTAAAAAGAAAAAAGGGGCAATTCCACACATGCAAAAGGATTAGTTGCCAATAAATTACAACTACATATGTAATAAATATATCATAAAAAAGCGATCAAAGTGGATACTCTGCTCAGTATGGTCAAGAAATAAATAGGATTAAAATCCAAAGCTGGCATGCACATGGGTGGAAATGCAGAAGATGAGGATGTCAAGCAAAGACAAGATGCAGTCTGCCTCTTATGGGGAGCATGTTTCATAATTCCTTTGCCAGCATATTCTCTTGGAATTTGATACCTTACTCAAAAAATATCACTTCAGATGCTACCAAGGACGCTTCAATCTAGCAAGTGGATCCTTAGCCTGGTTGTTCATATTGAGATCCTTAAAATCTCAGTGTTCAAATTATACTGTGTGCAGATGTAGTCCAACTTTATGTTTGTTTAGTTTGTAGTCCCTTCACTCAATTTTTAGTAGATTTAGTTTTTAATTTGATTTATTTAAATTTAGTTGTTTATTTTTTATTTTTAAGATGTTATTTAATGTATTTATTTTTATTTTACTTTTATTTTAAAGAAGATAATTATAATATATATTAAATAACAAAATTTTTATTTATATAATACTTAATTAGGGATAAATATAAATTTTATTAATAAATTATTACATCTCTATGTTATTATTAGATAAAAAATATATCTATTTTTTTTTAATAAGATTTCAAGTTGGGAGTGGGGGGATTCAAACCCTAACCCTTGGGTTAGGCAGATGCACTTTACAAGTAGACTTATAGTCAACCATGAGGTGTAAGTGCAAAAAATTATATCTATTAAAGTTAAAGAGAGGGAGTAATTATCATTGACTGATCTGTACCATGAGTTTGTAAAGTTTTAATTGATAGATTAAAGAATATATGATGTGATTACCTAACAAAAGGAAAAATTGCTCAATCTAAAAATATAAGATAAATTTACATACAATTCTTATTATATTCTTTATATAAAATCTTGATCATTTATATTTTTTACTATCAATAGTTAATATTTATCTACTTTTTACCCTTTTTTTTTTTTTTAAAGATAGTTGTCCTTTTTATTTAAAAAGTTAGTGATAAACTTTGACTATTCATAGTGGAAAGATAAATAATTAAAATTTTGTATAATTGATATGTGTAAAAATTATGTGTAAGTGTATATATCTTAAGTCAAATATATACACAAAATTGTGATTATTAGTCTCTTTATTATAAACTATTAATATTTTTCATAACTTTTTAGATAAAAAATAACTATTTTCAAAAAAATAAAATAAAAAGTTGATAACTCTTAATCATTTATTGT